ACTAGGATCAACTAACTTGCATAATTTCATAATATCAGTATAATATTCAATAACAGGTTCATCGTAGTGTTGTAAACGAGTTCGTAAACGATTTGACGCTAATTGTTTTGTTGTTGGTGAAGAATAGGTTCGAATAAATTCAGTTTTAAATACAGTCCAAGATTCAAATGTTTCCTTGTTGTCCGAATACCATTGTTTAGCATGTCCTTCCAAAAATGTGGGTATTATTTTTAATGCATGTGCTTCAGTTATATCAGCCATACGACATGTTGCAATAAGATCGTTTAGCCATTCATCAGCATTTTGATCGTGTTTACCCGCATATTTAGGTGTTTGTTCTAAAGTTTTGCTTAAAAGTGTTGCAATTGTTTTTTCTGCCATTATTAATTCTGCTAGACGATAAATTACAGGATGTACGTTCGAACGATCAGGATAATTAATATCAATATTAGATAATCGAGCAAATTCGGATGCGATAAGTTGTGCTGCACCTTGTCGAGTTAACATACAATATTAATGCAGATATTAAACAAAACCGGCCAGTGCACCAATTTGTTACGCTCCTTTCTCGCTTGTTTATTCGAATCAAACCCGAAAAACAACAACACCGAACAATGATGATGTTCCTCTTATCTCTCTTCAGCCATTCCGGTTCCACTCTGATATTATAGAGGGATATATCCTTCTTATGTCAGGAGATGGCTCCACTGACATAACACCTCCCCCACCGAGAAAAGATAGAGAGTACAACAAAAGAGATAAGTTTCAAATAAAAGTGAATCGTATACAAAAACAAATAGAGGCGAGAGAAAATAAAGAAAAAAACAATACGAATTGCGAATGAATTAAACGCAGAATATTAGATAATGAGCTGTAGAAAAGAAAGTTATGAATGTGTAATAATGAACATGAAATAGAAAGAAGTAAGAAAGACCAATACGGCAGATGAGAATAAAGAAGTGTTTATGATACGATTGAAGTTGGTGGAGCAAGTGGAGATGTTGTTGGTTCACGGGTTGGTGAAAGTAATAACGATGCGTATTGTTGTAATGGTTGATGTACTGACGAATTAGGTATATGAGCATAGGGTGGTGGATAAGCGGGCGTCATGGAAGAGATGTGTGTGGGAGCACGTTGTGAGGCGTGTTCTTGTTGTTCAGCCAGTTTCAGTATTGTGCGGCACCGTTTATAAACATAAAAAAGAAAAACGATAAGTACTAAAGCGCCCACGATCAGTAATAACTAGAACGCATAATGGGTCCAGTTGCTGCTATCAAAACGTTGATCACAAGAGACTACCGGTTTACTATCAAGAAAACCATCGATTGAATCGAACGTGATGAACCACAGACAAATGTATAAGAAAGCCATAGTAGCCGAGAAGGACGTAGTCGATACGTTTAAGACGATAGTGAATTGTATAGAAAGTGTATATGGAAAGATAAAAGAAAAATGAAATGCAGCGATGAAATAAATGTAAAGATAAAACTTTGTGAGTATTAACGATGATAAAATTCAGATGTGGAAAATATGTAAATGTAAATATGAAAAGTAACATGTGAATATGTGATGATTCCGGTGATGTGGAATGGTAGAAGAGAAATTTTATGAGGGTACGAGTTGGTCCCGAGAATAAACACGCTTAAGATTGTTTGAATGGACCTGAAATCGTTGAAAATTGTCATCTTCAACAACAAATGACACCGGTGAAAGAACTTGAATAATTCGTACAGGACCTGTATATCGAGCATCGAGTTTATTGCGTCCCATGAAGATTTTCATCCATACAAGATCACCTGGTAAAAAATTGGGATGCCACCTGTTTTTGTCAAAACGAAGTTTCGAGAGTTGCTGCTGATGTATAATATTGTTTCGTGCTTGTTTTAATGCGATATTCCTATATTGCATGAGTTGTGTCCAATAATCTTGTGGTTTGTGAAATGTAAAAGTGGTTGCCGGAGGCTGGAATGGGTTACGCGGTTGTCGTCCAAATGCAAGTTGATAAGGTGTAAATCCAGTTGAGCTATGCACACCATGATTATAGGCAAAAACGATAGACGGCAGAAAGGTGTCCCAATTGTTGTGTTCTATATTACAAAATTTAGCCATGTGCGTAGCGAATGTTGCGTTCCAGCGTTCGGTTTGTCCATTGGTTTGTGGATGATATGGTGTCGAGAAAACGTGTTT